AGCCCATCCCTCTCCACCAAGCAATGCAAACACCTCCATTGCCGTACACAGGAATACAGTAAATCAAAGCCCAGAAATATCAATGGGCTCAGGTAGTTTTGCTTTTAGTGTTGATGTTGTTCTTTTCCTTACTCTTTTCAAACATAGTCTCTTGCAACTTTGTGTTTCCAACCTGAAAAAACACAATGCACCAGAAGCACAGTGCATTTAACTATTTTGTTGTGGCCAACCACAGTGTAAAACAAATTTGATCTCACAACATGATTGTTCAAGTAATAGGTGATATTTTAATACAGTACTGATCTGGCTGGTAAAATGGGACCTTTCATTATAGAGTAAAGTCTTAGTTTTAAATTTGCTGGGCTTTGTTTGAGATTGAGACAGCACAATAAACTTAGGACGTGTAAGTACAGGCTTCCTCTGCCATCTCCTTGGCCTCAGCTGTTCCGAACATGCAGCAGCACATGTGCTTATGAGTTGGCAAGATCCAGAACTGCAGTAGGTCAGGCAAATACAAAGGAAAATGAGTATTATATTAGAAATATAATTTTCATGTGTCACATTAAAAAAAACCCCACAAAACCAAAACACAGCCATGTTTATCACAATAAAAACAGTGCTGGGCAAGTCTTGGTTTTGGATTAATTCTAATAAAACCTAGTCACATTTTTCTTTGATCCTTCTTTATTGTCTCCTATTTCAATAAATTGTTTTGGTAGCATGATCTGAAACTCTTCAAAGTTGTATGAACCAAATGATTATTTGAGCATAGCCATTACTAAAGGAATGTGCATTATATACACCTGGAGTATTAAAACTGGCCTGCATAAATGGAAGAATCCAAACTAGCAACCTTATTTTACTAGAATTTGTTTTCTATTTCTGTGCTCCAAAGTTCAACAAATTAAATAAACAGAGAGAAACCTTGTTGCCCCCTCTGAATTTAGTGCACTTGCCGGGTACATTAGCACTTGGGGCATTTTACAGCAGGACTGACTTGTGTGCAGCAGCAATTTCTCTGGGCTGTTACAGGCTACAAGATGTAAGAAGCAGTGGGTTTGTTTTTTAGCAGAGCTGACAAAAGGGATGTAGGGTACAATTCCAAAAGGCTTGCAACAAATCCATGTAGATGTTTAATGATTTTAACCTCTGCAGAGGGTTGCTTTGCAGAGATTGCTGCAGATCCAGAAAAGCTTTTAAGGATACAGAGTGGGCTTTTACGATAGCCCCAGCTGTACAACTTCTGTGCTGCAGCCTCAACTGGTGTCAGTAGTGTTCCCTGGTTTCTGCAGATGCAATCTCCTCTCTTCCGGCCCTTGGGGCATTGCAAGTCTAACCTTGACAGGAGGAAAAATAGCTTTATTAACATACTGTATCCCAGGGTGTGAAATATTCTCCCATAAGTTGTACTAGTGCTCTTCTGAAGGATCCCCTTCTTGGGTTGGCCTGCATTGCCTCTGTCCTGTCTATCAGATTTCACTGCTTGTGCAGATTTCACTGCCTGGCTGCAGAGGTGTCTGGGGGCCTTTCACTGGGCTCACTGTAATGTTTCTGCAGCCTTCCAGCTGGAAATGTCCAGTTTATAGCAATACCTTTCCCTAGCCCTTGACTGGGAAGAGGCTGCTGCCTGTATATTCCTCACACGCAGCGAGAGCCTTGTTACCACCTTGCTATTTGAGGCTTTTTCTTAAGCCACTCTGCTTGGGTGAGAAAGGCTCAGAAGGCCTTGCCTGGTGCCTGTAAACTTGAAGAGGCCCTAATATCTTGCCCCAAGTGCTTACATTGGCTTCCAGTCATAGGGGGAGAAAGTTGGGAATCAAAGAGTCTTGGTCATTGCATCTGGACCAGTGTTTAGAAGTGATGTGTAACAAACATTAACAGCTTTTCCAGCTGAACTGGAATTCGGAATTTTCTTCCTGCTTAAGGTGTTAACCCCTTATCTGAACAGGAATGAGTTATATGTGTTGTTTTGGTGGAGAATGCAGAATGTGTTGTCATTTAAGGTGACAGAAATTTGAATGCTCTGTTCTGAAGTTGATGTTTTAGCCCCTTGCAGTGTTGCCACATGAGAGATGCACTGAGAAACTGAATTTTTCACACAGAATTTGCCTTTGTGAGTTACAATAAAGCAAAGTAAAGTTGGGAGGAAGGAGTATTATCAAGAGTCTAGTTAGCAAAACTTGAGGATACAGCAGATCTCATCCTAACTTGCATAATGAGACCACGTCAAACCAAGAAAGAAATCAAATCTCTTGACTTGTATTCTGTGCATCCATCATCACGAGGCCACTCTTCTTTCAGTTTTGTCCTTAAGCAGGGAAATTCAATAACCTCTTTTGTCCCTGGGGTGCTGTGGTATGGTCTCCCACTACTCTTGGATGTTCTGCTTTCAGCACTGGAATGTTTCTGTGCTTGTCACTCGCTCAAGGATTTAAGCCATTTATTTTGTTTGTTTATAATAGAGTTCTGGTGGGAAGACAGATGTTACGTGGGAAAGCTATTTTCCGGATCTGTTTATCCCTGTTATGTGGAATCTCGCAGACCACCAGTAGCAAGTAGCTATTAGGCATCAGCTTTGAGAGATTGGCATTTTCAGAAGAGGAAATGTATTAGTTCTTATAAGCAACTTTGCAACAAACCAAATGACTTCTTGGCACACTTTGGCTTGGTGTTTAAAATGGATTGGAGTATGTCTTTGTTTCAATACAGCCATTTGACCTTTTGAAATATTAGTATTTTAGGAAATGGCTCGGATTTGTTTGTATCTGGCAGTAAAGAGCTGACTTGAATTCTTAAAATATGTTGTCTAAGCAGCATTTAGCTATGAAGACATGGTTCTAAATAAATCTCATTTAAATGCCTCTATTCAAAATTAAAAATCAAGGTTTTCACTTTCAGCCATCTTTCTTTGTCTTGATGTCCCAGGGTACTTCAAGGAGCTTGGCAATTAAATTGTATGCTATTATGGCAGCAGAATAGGGACAAGTCTTTGTGTTCCAAAGAATTCATGTTTCAAAAGATAATGTTCAAGATTTGTCCTTCATCTCTCTTCTGCTTGATACTTTGCAACACTGGTTTCACAACAGGCTGAGCTCACAAATTCCTAAGACTTAGGAGGAAACAATTTATTTATTAATGTTTTATCAGAGAAGAGTCCTAATTGGGGTATCCGTGCACTTGGGAAGACCAGAAAGCTTCTTACTCTTGGGCATTTGTTACTCTTGCCAGGAATCTGTAGACTTCCAAATTGCCAAGGCCGTATGTGTTGAGAGAGAGCAAAGTAAACCCTGTAGAAAGGCAATTTTAGCAATTCCATCTTGTTCAGCCAAAGAGATTAGACATAGTTGGAAAATTATTTCCTCCATAGGGGGAGGATGACCACAAAACTGGAACAATTTTTTTCTTTATTTGAAGAACATTTTCATGAGCACACACTGTGGAGTGTGCTTGACAGAAGCAAAAGCACTTTGGTTGTTTCTGAGCCATCCCAGGAGTAGGAAACACTACAAGGAGGAGTTGCAAGAGTCTCTGGTGGCTTCATGGCCACTTGTTTTAGCGCTGCAGTCTGTCTTATTCCATTCAGTTTGGGACAGAAAATGCCATGTGAGTTCACGGTTTGCCTGTACATATGTGTGCAATGGAAAATAGGAAATATTCCTCTCCTTGCTTTCTGCTCAGGACCAGATTTAGTAGCATTTAGCAGGAAATTGCTTTAGGCATGGAAGTTAGATCTGGAAGGGTTGCAACAATTAATATTTTTCATTTTTTTTATTGCAGCCATGGCTGTAATTTGGCTCTACTGAATCTGCTGATCAGTAGCTTGGGCTCCTCATGCCATTCTTGCCACTTAAAAGTGCAGAATACAGTATTTTCTCTAAGAAATGTCATGGGGAAAAATCCAAATAGTGACTGTCAGGTGCTGAGATACCACTGCACAGAAGCCCTTTAGAATCATAGCACATTTGAAAAACAATTGTTTTGTTTTTCGTTTCTTCTGCAGTTATTGCAAATATAATCCAATGGGAACCTGTGGCTTTTGTGTAGAGCACATACATCTCCCAGGGAGCACTGGTTACTGGAAAACCATGTTTCATCAGGTGTTATTTATTTGTTTCACAGTTGTGGAAAGAGATACCAAACACTTGGGGTTTTATTAATCTTTGGTCAGTAACTGCAGGCAGGATGGAATGGAGTTTTGGCATTTTTTGCCACTCAGTGTATTTGATTGGAGCTGGAGGGAGGCACAGAAAGCTGTGGGATATCTGACAGTAGGCTTAAGGATTCAAGTTAATTGTGTCATGAGCAGACATGGGAGTCATGGTGTACAGAACTGGTCTTTCTTCAGGCCAGCAGTGCATGGGATCTAACAGAGTGAAACAACACATTTTTCCCTTTGCTTTCCAAGGGTGGTGGTGAGTACATTTAGAAACTGGAAATAAAAATTGCACTTTGTGTCTGCTGAGGAACCATGGCAGGACTTTGGCTTGAGCCCTGACAGTAAATCTCTCCTTTGACAGAAACCTGTCCGAGGCTGTTCCCCTTCAGGTTTCTTCTGTGCCTGAGGCTTTGACAAGGTGACATAAAGTTCCTCCTTGGGAAGAAGGGCCCAGTCTGATGCCAGCCTTGCCTTGTGGGGTTTGGTGTGAGTGGCCAAGGGCTGCAGCAGAGCTCCTGTGACATTTGCCATGCAGATGGAGTCAGTTCTTCGTGAACATGTGTCCTTTTGCCAACTGAATTAGTCACAGAAATATAGTACTTTTAGAAAATGTTCATAAGAGGCTTTCAGTTATGCAGTAGCAGCTACTTGGTACCCAACAGAGAGAATATCTAAAAGGTGTTTCAGAATTTAAAATCATATTTATTCATTGCTACAATTAGGCCCTTTTTGTTGTTGTTGTTTGTTTGTTTCCATGAAAGTATTAAATAGGCAAATAATATATAAGCAGCAAAAGTATGTTAAAAAGAAAGACCTGCAATGATTTTCTCTTTTCCTTCAACAGACATACATTGGCAGCGTGGTGATATCAATAAACCCCTACAGATCTCTACCCATTTATAATCCAGAGAAAGTGGAAGAGTACAGAAACCGAAACTTTTATGAACTCAGTCCTCACATGTAAGTACAGCAAAGAAATTTTAGTTTTCATTCTGTCCGGGAACAGATGGTACCAGCTGTCTCTCTCCTCAAAAGATCTGTTGATTAAAGCAACCAAAATGAAAATCACACCACCACTCCCCCAAAATGAATTTTTATTAGCTCAGCCATATTTTAAAGTGAAGTTAAAATGAGTTACTCTTTTTCTTTCATGCACTTAGGCCCTGGTATGTGCATTTCAGAGCATTTCCCACCCCTCTAACTGTTAGCAGTAGCCAGCATTACAGCGCTGTAAAGTAAGCAATCTGTTTTCAAGGAAATCTGTTTCTTTCAAAGTCCAGACTGCCTCCTGGAAGCCTCGAGGTGTTAAATATATTTGAATCATATAGTGTTACTTTTGATATCTGAAACTCTTTATTTATCTTTGTGCAACACAGAAAAAAAACCAAAACCCCTCTAATGATGAATGCAGGAACATGTTGGATATGTCTGAATGGTAACTGTAGGAAAATTAAAGCTTGGTCTTCTCTGTGCTGGGTGGAAATGAGCCCATTCATAGAGGAAAGCCAGAGCACCATAAATGCATAATGCAAACTTTAAGACTAAAATAGGATGAATAATAGGACAAGGTGCTGTTTGCAGGTGTGGGTAGTGTGGCTGAGAGTAAGGTACGAGGTCTTCAAGGTCAGCATGTTGCAGTAATCATTTTATCTTTAGTAGGGGTCAGGCTGAAGCCAGCTGTTCCTCACTCAGTGCGACACTGGGAAGGAGAAGGGTTTCCAGCTGGTTGTGAGGTTGCACCTGACTCTTCAGCCACAAATTCAGGAGGCTGACTTGAGCAATCAGTGGCTGGATAAGTGTCTAAACAGGGCCATACATTTATGCATCATCCTTCAGTGTTAACTTCTAGGTTAAATGAAAATTATGTGTAGAAAGTGTTCTGGAAGTTATTTGGTTCTGATTAATTTTTTGCCTTAACACTTCATCTGTCATTCTCCCAGATGCATAGTCTGAAATGCAATCAGACCAATAATCAGATCAAATAAGCTTCTAGTAATTCTTGGACCTCTTGGTTCTGAACTCTGGCTAAATTGAGGTTTTCTTCCTTGACAGTTTTGTTTAGCAAGCCCAATAGCTTGCTAAATTGACACAGTTCCTTGCTAAAAGAACTTTCTGCTCTGCTAATTTTGTTCAGCTGCATAAAATTTGCTGTCAAATGATGGAGTATTTTAAAAATTAAACTTGTAAGTTAAAGTTTGTCTGACATTCTGGAAGTCAGTATGTGTACTTGCTTACACCTTGAATCAAGTACGTAGTAATATATTGATCTCCGCATTTTTCTGTCTCTCTTGAAAGATGGTTTTCCAGAACAGAAATGGTCAAGAGTCATTCTTGTGTGTATTATGAGAGTCTGAACTTGGTAGAAAAGTATTTCATAAACATCATTCATAACTAATGACAGTAATGGTATGGTCAGGTTCCTACTTCACAGCAAGGACTTCTGGAGCCCAAACACTAGAAATCTACTTTTAGAGCAGGTGACTGAAGTGAGAAAATATTGACTTAATTTTTGTCAGGATATCTCAATTGCTTGATAGTAATGGATTTTCCTTGCAGTTTTGGATAGAGTCCCAAGTCAAGAAAAGTGTAAGCCTAATTTGTTTTGGACAGATATAATCTCTTCACAAATTTTCTTTATTTTGTGTTGCTTCTGTGTGAAAGTTTTGTCTTTTGACACTTGCTAAGTGGACAAAATATCTTCAATAATAAAGGATTAGGAAATCATCTTTGTCATGGTTTCTATTACGGATACATAATTTCCAAACTGTAGAAATATAAAATGATCTTTATGGTGACCTTGCTTCCCTTACCACCTGTCTCTAGATGCTTATGAGAATTGCAGAATCAAGAGAGTCACTTTTGGCTCTGCTAAAATTGGTAAACTTCTCACCATCTTCAAGAGATATTTGGATGGTACTGTAGGTGTATAAAATAAGAGCTATGTAGGATGCCTTATGGCATCTCTGGCAAGCTTAAACCACTTTTCATCCCCTCTAATGTGGCATGCCTCATGATGTATCTAAGGATTTGTGCCAGTCCAGTTGTCCACTCTGCAAATGTGGAGCTGGTCCTTGGATGCTGGTTAACAGATCATGAGTTGAGCTTGCAGGGTGGCTTGGGGCCAGGCCTGGGCTCTTCACCAACGCTGTGCTTGCCTACCCTGCTGGTGAGGACAGACTGAGGACTGACAGAATTTGGGGTAGAGCTGGCATCATCCCGTCCTTGGAGCTTGCAGCTAATTCTAGGGTTGACTGCTCTGGCAGCAGTAGGCCACTGCTAAAAGCAGGGTTCAGGCATGTCTAGGGAGATTGCTGCACTTCCACAGAGACCTTGCAATCTTCAAGCTGTTTTTTTTTTTTTTTTTAGCTGCTCAGGAACTTTAATGAGGAGATGCTGTGAGACAAATTGCAATTTGTGATGTTTGTTCTGCCACGGGGGTAAAACCCCCCATTGATTTGTGGAAATGTACACACTTGTTTCTCTTTGATGTGTAAATCTCTGTTGAACCATGGACTCTTCAGAGGAATTGATTGTGAGTAAGTCCACAGCACCATTTAGGTGTGCCTTGGGAAAGACTTTTGGCTCCCATTGTGTGATCCTGAGCAAAGTAAAATTCTTGACTGTTTAGAAGGAAACTAATGCATCCAACCTAGAAAGCGTATCTAGAAATAAAGTAAGATAGACTGTGTTTCTTATTTCAACATCTCTTTTGTATAAATAATATAATTTTGGTACTAGCGGTAGCTAGAAAAATGCAAGCAATTAACTAAAACAAAATTTCTGGCAGTGGTTTGATTGGAGATTGCTATAGAAACCAGGTCAGTATGGCACCAAAACTCTTCTATCTCTGTTGGTGTAACAGCTCAAGTTCTCTGTAGTTTTGGAGAGAACATTCAGGTTTGGGGAGCCCAGGATTTAAGTGTCAGCATCTCTAGAGCAATCTGCCATGGTATGTTCCCAAAGATACAGCTCTGGGTAGGAGCTCCTGGAGAACCAAAATCGCATTTTATTTATTTTCCAGAGGTTTTGTGTGAGCCTCTGTCTAGGCTGGAGCTACTTGTGTGTGCCTCAGTGTGATGGGTAGGGAGGCTGTGCTTGAGAATGTCAGCTGTCCCAGTTAAAGAGCAGGCTTGGCCAGCACAGGAAAACAGAAGGAAAAAGAGAGAGAAGTTTATAATGACAGGAAGGAAATCCATACCTGTGGATTTCCTGCCATGTATGGTCACTGGAGGAAAAACACTTGAGGGAGTGAAAAGTCTGTTCAGGTGTTTTCTTAGCCCTAATCTGAAAGAGGAGGGAGGGAACACCTTGTCCTCTGTTCTGTGTTTCCTCAAGAGTGTCTGTGAGAGTGACTGATGCTTTCAGTGACGCCAGTTAATACTTAATTGCAGGGCTTGGACAGAGTTTGTTTTTCTGGTTTTTTCTTAATTTCTTTCTTTTTTTTTTTTTTTAAATGATCTCTGGAAACTAGAGTAGGGCCATAGTCACACTTTGAATGGGCAGCCAAACTGAATTGCTGAAGGAAAGTTTCTGATCAGGTGATTTTGGATAGCGTTGTAGCTGATAAAATTTGATCCAAGAGGTTTTATTTTGATAGTTCATTCCTCCCTGAGTGCACTACTGCACCACTGTTGTTGCGGCACCGTGTAATATAAGTGTTATTTTTCTAGGTCTCCTGGAATCCTTGTTTTTATACTCTGTGGCTATTTGCATAGGCGTAATAGGAAGTTTACCAGGCTTTTTAATTGCTGGCTTGTTTTTGTTTTAATGTTGGTAATCTTGCTGGTTTTGTCTTTATCTGTAAGGCAGGATCAAACTTGTCTCTGACTTGGCAGGGCAGAGTATGACATTTCAGTGTTCAGTTTGCTGCTTGATTTGTGCAGCTCTTACACTTCTGTTCTGCCCTCTCAGTCCATGTAATTACTCTTTCAGTTGATATAATTGCTGCTTTGCTTACCTTGTGGCTGAGCTAGTCATGGGAGCAAACCAAGCTGTCTGTCTTGCTGTTTTACGTGGATTGTCACTGGTGACAAAGGCAGCTGCTGCCATCTTTGTAGTGAATGCAATGGGAAATCAAATAGATTATCGTCCCACATATTTGTAAACCATCATGCTGTATCACTTTCCTACCAGTAACAGATTTGCATTAAGGGGTTGGAGAGTAGGTGCTTTCTTGAATTTCCTGTTTTAACCTTGTCTCCTGGCTACTAACAGCTCTCTGTCCCTGGCAGGGAAGGAGGCACGTGGCTTTTTGCTCCCCTTTATGGTGTGAGATGCCCTACCTGCCTGCTCTAGAAGAATTACAGATTATTTTGATTGACAAAGTCAAATTGGCAGCTGTACTGCTAATGGCCAGCTACATTTAAGTAAGAATTCAGTCTCTGTGCATTTTTTTGGGCTATGCACTGAAGTTTTTAGGGTGACATTAGCAATCTGGAGATGACTTTTATCAGACACTTACTGAATTCCACTTAGGCAATTTGCAGTATATTTTATTTACTTATAGTTAAATATTTAAAATGGACATTTCTGAAGTTTTCCGAATAGTTTTGCATGTAAAACTTTCAAATTTAGACTTAAATGTATGCAGGCAACTCCAGAAAACCAGCTTGCCTTTATATGGGATACAAGCACATATATATCAAAGTGATACCTGTTAAAATGCAATAATGAGGAACTTATTAATGTTCCTCATTTCAGGTATTGTCATGTAGATAATTATTGGGATAAGTCATTATCCTGTGGATGTCTGCAGTTACTCTGACAATGGATACAATTTGGTGTTTCCTTTTCAACTTTTGAGCCAATGTAAATGCTGAATATTGAAGTTTTATTTTTGCTTCTGGCTCTTTTTATTTTTTTTTTTTTTTGCTTGTGTTAAAGGATTGGATTTCTTCAGGAACACCAAGGTTTCAGTAGCTCTTTTTCCTCTATGGTGTGAAGCAAATATTTTTGTCTGA